CCCCCCCCCTGCCGCCACTCTCACCCCCAAGGGGTTTCAGCTGTAAACTTCTGCTATTTCCACATGGCCAGAACCTGGATTGTTTTAGAGTTTGGTGTGACTTTATCTTTACCAAATCTCAGGAGACCAGAAACTAATTCAGCAGGATCCTCTTATTTTAAGTCTGTAATAAGTGCCTTGCCCCCTTCAGAACAGATGGAGATGCTTTGTGATCACAACTGGTCTGAAGGTCCAGGAGTAGTTGACTTCACTTCTGTGGGCAAACATTTATTGAGTGCCTACTGTGTACCAGGCCCTGAGGCACCTCCTGGGGGCCTGCAGGCTACTGTAGAAAATGTGTTATGTTGAACCATGTGAAATGGCCAATATTCAGCCTAAATAGAAAAAGATAAAATTAAAGAGCAATGTCCTCCTTACTGTAATTGAGAGATTGACAGGGTGTGGTGGGTACTAAGAAGGTGTGATTATAAGCTTGGAGAAGTTTAGGAGGAGAGACATGGGAGCCTTACTTTGAAGAATCAATAATCATAGTAATTACAATAATAATAGTCACATTCATTGAGTACTTGCCCCGGACTGTGTCCTAGGTGCTTCACATTCATTCATGCATCTAGTTATTCAGCCAGTATTTATTAAGCACCTGCATTGTGCTAGGTGTTTTCTGGATGGGGGTGGGGTCTGTGAGTTAACAAAATAGACCAGAAAGACCTGCCTTAAAGGAGTGTACAATCGATAGGGGAAAAAGACAGACAATAGCAATAAGTACAATGGATGGTGATAAATGAGATGAAGCGAATAAAACAGAGGAAGGGGTTAGGGCATGTGGGGGGATGGGAGGAGGGGCTGCCGTTTTAAATAGGGTGCTCTGGGGGAGCTGGTTGAGAAGGTGGCTTTTGGGCAAAGGCTAGAAGGAAGTGAGGGAGCGAGTTGGGTGATTTCTGAGGGAAGAGCCATCCAGGTGGAGGGGACAGCCAGTACAGAAGCCCTGACGTGGCACCAGGCCTGGCATGTTGGAAGAACCACAGGCGAGAACAGAGTGACCGAGGGGGAGAGGATGAGACCAGGTCAGAGAGTCTGTGGGCCTACTGAGTACCCCACCATGAGCAGTGTGGATGCCGCCACGTCTGCGAGGGAGGTACTGTTTCTGTTTCTCTTATTCGGTTAAGAAAACAGAGGTACAGAGAAGCCAAGTAACTTGCTGACACAGTGTCTCATGGAGAAGCTGGGGCTTTTAGTCAGGGCAGTGGGAGGCCATGGAAGGAGGCTTTTGAACAGGGCGGGGGCCTCTGAGGTTGCTCTGGTCTGAATGTTTGTGTCCCCTCAAAATTCATGTGTTGAAATCCTAACCCCGAAAGTGATGGGATTAGAAGATGGGGCCTTTGGGAGATGATTTGGTCATGAAGGTGGAGCCCTCATGATGGGATTAGGATCCAGAGAGAGCCTCCCACCTCCCACCACGTGAGGAAGCCGCAGGAGGACGCCGCCTGTGAACCAGGAAGCGGCCTGCAGCAGGCAGCAGGTGTGCTGTCTTGCTCTCGGACTTGCCTGCCTCCAGAACTGTGAGAAATACGTTTTTCTTGCTTATAAGCTACTCCTTTTATGTTATTTTGTGATAGCAACCTGAACAGACTAAGACAGGGGTGCAGAGAGAAGGCTGTGGAAACAGTTAAGACCTGGAGTGCTGAGGTGGGACCTGGGCAGTGAATGGGACAGAGGGTCTGTGGGACTCAGTGCTGAGGGGAGGTGGAGGCAGGCCAGCTGAGCAGGCGGAGGAGGAGGAAGCCAGGCTGGCCCTGGGCTTATTTATTTAACAACAGCACTTCTTATGCTCCAGGAACTGTGTAAGATTTTGCATACATTAACGCATTCAATCCTTATAACAACCTACAGGGTAGGCACTATTATTTATTATTATTCCCATTATTTAATGGGTGTATTACATTGCCTATAAATTAAATCTCAATAAAGTTAATTTACAAAGAAAGTTTAAATTTAAAAATAAACTGAGGTCTGGGCTGGCCTGTGGCTCACTCGGGAGAGTGCGGTGCTGATAACACCAGGGCCACGGGTTCGGATCCCATATAGGGATGGCCGGTTGGCTCACTGGGTGAGCATGGTGCTGACAACACCAAGTCAAGGGTTAAAATCCCCTTACCGGTCATCTTTAAAAAAATAAAAAATAAAAAATAAAAAATAAATAAACTGAGGTCTGATCTTCCCAGAGAAAAAGGGAAAATATACAGGTTACATGTTTCCAACTCCCTGAAAAGAGGAAGGAGACTGGCTTTTCTGGAGAGACAGCATCGTCCTCCCCTCACAACCCCTGCCATGTCAGGTCTAAATTCTGGGAGAATCTGATCTTATGAACCTTTGCACAAACGCCCTGTTTATCTCCACCAGCAGCGCTTCATGTACTTGTTTCTTTAATTAATTCTCAACAAGAGCCAGGGGCAAAATCCTTAGATCCCAGAAGATGAGAGATGTTACACTCACTTTGGGTGCCGGATATCAGGGAGAGAGCGATTCAGGGAGATTTTATCACTGACGTAGATGTTAAATCCATTTTCTCGGTACGCCTGATCCACTCTCTCAGCATCAGTCATGGCGTAAGGTCTCCCTTGTTCTCCATCTCCTAGAGGCAAAGAGAAAATTCAGTGTTGCTAAGTACCTAACATTTATGGGGGTACTGTGTATGGAGTGGTGGAAGAAGGATGAAAAATATGATTAAACCATAAAGATAAAACTTTATACTTGGATACAGAGTGTACCTCCAGATTTTGCACAGGGAAGTGCACAGAGGGGGAGGGGAACAAACATTTATTCAGCCACGGCCATGGCATGCACTTTAGAAACGTTATTCTCATGTGTTATTCACAGATACCCTGTAGGGTGGACACTTGAGCTCTTATTCCATAGAAAGATGAACCGAGACTCAGAAAGTTTATAAAACCAGGTTTATGGGTTTCAAAACCCATGCTCCCTCCATTCCATCAGGCACCCAAACACCCCTGCTCTTGGAGTAGATCACCTGCCCAGGAGGCCAGGTCTACCACCTATGGGCTGATCAACCTTGGGCAAGTCACACCAGCTCTCTGCTCTACAGCTTCCTCGTCTGATACCCACAGCATGTTTAAGAAAGTCAGATGAAAGTTTGGATACACAAAAGCTTTTCTGTAAACTATAAAACACTATACAGATGTGAGGAAATATGATTATTCTAGGTAAGGCCAACTTTACATATAAATCAAAATTGTCATAAATGATAAAAGATTCTTTGATTTTTTTTTTTTAAAGCCAGTAAACAAATTAAGATCTACCTTCACTAAGCCAAGGCCTGAAAAGTGCTGTTTTAAGTTACAATTTGGGTGGATGAAGTGTTAGCTTTCTTAACTCTTTACAATCTAAAGCCAGTAAACAAATTAAGATCTACCTTCACTAAGCCAAGGCCTGAAGAGTGCTGTTTTAAGTTACAATTTGGGTGGATGAAGTGTTAGCTTTCTTAACTCTTTACAATCCATCTGGGGAAAGAGTCCCTGACACTCCAGGAAATTATTCTCTGGGTTCCCAAAGAGCACAGGCATATGGTGAGTAGGAATGTCCACACCAACCCCTGCAGTAGTAGCCCACAAATCTGTCCTTTGTCAGGGTCTTGAAGAAAAAGCAATAAAACCAGCTGGTTAAAAATAACCTCACCTTCCGGAGCTTGTGGTCTGAACAACACCTATTTACTTTGTAAAGTAAATGCTGACAACAACAGCTTGAAAGGAAGGTGGAAGGGCTGTGGCTATTTCATTCACTCAGATAAGGGACAGGACTCCATTGTCTGTAACTTGCAATGCTCCATGGTAAGACATTGCTGACTAGTAGTGCCCAGGATGGATTCCGCAAGGGACACAATGCAGCAAGCAGAAAAAGCAGACCAGAAGTGTTTGCTCTGGGAGGGAAGCTTCAGGAGGACAGTACAGGGGAGCAACTCAGAATTCAGACCCTGGAGCCTGGCAGAGAGGAATTCAACGGCCGACCCTTCTGGTCCCCAGCTATGTCATCTTCGGTGTGCCTTTTGCCGTTTGCAGTAATTGCAATAAGAAACACTATCCTTAACGTTAATGATCCTGTTGTCATTAAGGAGGTAATGCAGGGCAACATGCCTAGCACACAGTTATTGTTCAACAAATGCTGGTTATTATTATTCTTAATGTCTCCACTGCTTACTCTTTTCTTGCTGCTTAGTTTAGTGTTCTAATAATTCTGGTATAACTGTTTGGCAAATCAATTCTTTCCAAATGTTTTCTCTCTTAATTTAAGGAGCATCCTCCCACCCCCCTCATTGTAAATCACTGGCATACAGAAAAATATATGGCATGTCTTTAACTGACTATCAGCTCTATTCAGAGTCTTATGACAAGCTGGTTTTGTCATAATGTAATTTAAAACAATCAATACTGGTATGTATCTTTAACTGAGACAAAAATGAATAAAATATCAATCCCTTATATTTCTTTCAGGCTTTCCAGGATTGCAAAGCTACTTCACACCCATCACTTGTCACCTTCAGAACAACATCCTGGGGTTGTCAAAACAGGAAGCATGAGCTCCATTGACAGATGGAGAGACTGAGGCCCAGGGAGTATGGGCTTTCTCTAATGCTCACATGACTGGTAAGTGGCATCACAGCTGCTTTCCTGACTCCTTAGTTCCAGGCTCTCTAGAGATGATACCCCACATAATTTCTATACCACCTACTCGAACCTTTTCCAACTTTCTAGGTTAATAGGAACTGCTCCAAAAACTAATTTGAAAGTTTTAAGAAAACTTCAACTGAAGCCCACTAAATTAATTCAGCCTCGTAGGGATCAACTCTGCCCTTTACATCTGGGCTCAAATCCTGTCTGCCTCCTTCTCACTTTGTGACGGTAGGCAGATTATCCCACCTCTCTGAGCCACAGCTCTTTTTTTGTTAAATAGGCCATAAAGACTGATTCGGGGTTTCAAGAGAAAAGTGCAGAGCATTATTGAACACCTTGCTCACCACAGGTGTTCAATAAATGTTGGCTCTTGATATTATGCCTCCTTGTTTTAGTGGTATATGGAGGAGATAATATATCACTAAAATATCCTATATGGGGGAAGACATTTTCAATCACTCAGTAGAGGTGGCAGGCAAATTCTTGTAGGCAGTGGATCTGGTGATGCTAATGGAGAAAGGGGTCCTGGGAATCAGGGGATGAGATGGCAGCAGAAGGGGAGGGAGTCAACAGGAGGTCCAGAAGTCCTGCTAAACACACCCACCCACCCACCCACATGTATGCACTCATATACACACAGGCATGTGTACATGTGCACGTGTGCAAACACGCTCTTCAGAACCCGCCCATGGACGCCCGTACTGTGGAGTATACTAACATTTATAAAGCAAATGTATTTCACAGAGCCTATTTTCCAAAGCCCTGTAGTTTCAGGTATAACCCAACTTTTTAAAATTACATATGGAAATGTTAAGCTTGCAAAAGACAGGAAACTTTCCCCAGGCTAAAGTCTCTGATGTAGATAAAGAATTGTAACACAGCAAAGTTGTTGGCTCAAGGACAGATGTCCTTGGAGCAGGTTGACCTGCTGATTGATATGTTAAGAAAGTTGCTGAGTGTTATGTAAATATGCTAAGGAAATTGTTGTAGGGAAAGTGTTTGCTAAGAACAAGCTTTTGTTGGTGGACTGACTTAACTTCTTACTAATTGCATTATGGAATATCACTTGTTTATTTCACTGATGTTACCAGCTTCTATTATTAAACTATACTTAGCCATAACCCCACCTATGTTCCTTTTCTGTAACTTTCTGGCCTGGAGAATAAATACTTAGACAGAACCCCAGTCCAGTGTTAATTTCCCGAGGAGGAATGCCTCTCTCTTGAGGGTTCTGGAAAGTTAACCCCTTTGGGATGTGTCACTGCTCAGAAGAAATGGGCTTTGAGTAATCCGGTGCGTCTCTCTCACCCAGGGGAGAGAGGTGGCAAATCCGTGTGAGGAAAGAGAGAGTGCAACACGTACCTATGCGCTGAGCGTCCCTCCTGATGGCCTCCTTGTCGTGCCAGTCCTTCAGCTTCTGCCCATCTCCCAAGAAAAATGTCTTCTTTTGCTGATTGTGTGAGCCCTTAAAAAAAAAAAAGACAAAAACTGTGAAAAAGAAGAGAAAGAGAAATAAGTTCAGTAATACAGACTGAGAAATTATGCTGCCTGAGGGAGCTTTTGGTATTGATCGAATGTCTGTCATCTTTTGTTCATTCCTTCAGTGTACCTTTGTTAGTGCCTGCCGCATGCCAGCCAGGTGTGCAAAGCTCAGCAAGGTGACAGGAGCACAGTGTTCACCCTTTGGGAACTCACAAACCAGCAAGGAAGAAAAGAGAGGACACATTCTTTTCACCCAAGGGAGATGGTGCTAAGCGTGGGGATGCCCAACAGAAATATAATACAACCACATGTGTAATTTCAAATTCTCAAGTATCCACATTAAAAAAAGAAAAAGAAATAGGTGAAGTTAGTTTGAGTAATATATGTTATTTAGCCCAATATGCTCTGTCTAAAACATTATCATTTCAATATGTAACCAATGTAAAAAATTATTGAGAAATTTTACATTATTTTTTTGTACTAAGTCTTTGAAATCCAGTGTATATTTAACACTTGTGTTAATTTTTTTTTTGACCAGTAAGGGGATCGTAACCCTTGGCTCGGTGTCGTCCGCCACCACACTCAGCCAGTGAGTGCACCGGCCATCCCTATATAGGATCTGAACCCGTGGCCTCGGCTCTACCAGCGCCGCACTCTCCCGAGTGAGCCACGGGGCCGGCCCCACTTGTGTTCATTTTGATTCAGCCCCATTTGTAGTGCTTAATAGCTGCATGTGGCTAGTGGCTACATACTGACAGGGCAAGGTGAGTGAATCTTAGGTGAGAGGCCCAGAGAAAGCACTACAGGAGCTCACTTCCACTGGGGAGGAATGGAGAAACATTTCATGGACATGAAGACATCCAGGCTGGCCTCAGTCCAGAAGAAGTGAGAGGCAGGCAGGGCAAGCAGCCTGGGCACAGTCTGTGAGGTGCAGGTGGGGAGAATGGCAGAGCTGTGCATGGCCTGAGTGCAGGAGTAGATCTTGGTCATCTCTATGTTCCTGAGCGCCCAGTACCAAAGAGGGCAAACATTTGGCAAAGGGGTGTGGACAGTATGCAATTGAATGGCTGGAAAAAAAAAAAAAAAAAAAAAAAGCCAGAAGAGAGCAGCCTGCAGGGCCATGGGGACTCTGAAGGCATTCATTATGTGTCTGCATAGGTGAGCCCATTCTGGTGGGCCTATTAGGAAGTGGTTTCCCTAAAGGAGGCTGCATTCCAGTGGCTGGGGTCATCAGAAGGAACCTGATGCTTCCCATGCCAACGGTCAAGTCTAAGGGCTTAGACTCCAGGGTCTGTTAGAACCTTCCCAATTTAAGAGTATTCCACACAGCTATTTACACATCTTCTGTGTTCACGTAAATGAGAACGCTTTCTGGATCACCTTGCCCATTAAAAATCCTGCAGACTTGTTCTTTCCACTGTGCAGAATCCAATAGTCCTATTTCCTATATAATTAACTGTGAAGGCCCTGAACATGTGCTGTGCTGGAACATTAGTGCTAACAAGAAGCCACTTGAAAAAAATCATCCCCACGCCTGTTTATTAAGTCTCTGGCCGATCCCTGCATTAGCAGATTTTCCACAACTCAACATCTTTACAACAGCTCCAGTGATAATAACAATCCTCTGCATTCTCTCTCTTGCACACTCTCTGAGTTGCAAGAAGATAACTCTAAAAGTTGGTATGCTAGATGCTTTGGTCAGAGAGGGAAAGAAAACTATAAAAAACAAAGGCCTTGTGCCTTCAAACAGTTCTCTGGATTCTTAGAAACCACAGAAGCTAAGCTGGAAGGTCCTTAAAGGACCACCTAATCAGTTCAGGTTTGAGCTATAGTTCTACAAGGGGTGCCCGCCTCAGGCACTATCTTGAGAAGGGGGAGGCTGAAAGTAGGGGCTTGCCCGCCCCCCTCCCACCTCTTCAGTCAGAGCAATAACACATCTGTTTTATCTAATGGAGTTGCAGGTGGGATTTCATTTTTAAAAAGTTCCTCTGCTAAAAATAAATAGATTAATGCATCTCCAAAATGAGCAAACAGATTTGGAAACTGAGCTAGGTTCACTTCCCTATATCAGACAGAGAAACCAAGCCTTGAGGTGGGTCAGGGACTGCCCAAGGTCATAGTCTGCCTCTTCTGTGTCTGGGTTGATCAGTCAGGGACTGTTTTGCTCTCCTTTCTCCAGTCCTTGGTCCCAATTCCTTTTCCCTTTTCTGCTACCCAAAGCCTGGGAGCTTTGGCTGATGACTTTAGGTCACTGGTGACTTTAGGTCACTAAAGACGCTCTGCAAACTGAGGCTGCCTTAATGGAAGGCACAAATCTAGAGCCATGGTCCTCAAATGTGGTCCTTGAGACTGCAGTGTAGGCACCACCAGTGAACTTGTTAGAAATGCAAATTCCCGGGGCCCACCCTAGACCTCCTGCAGCAGAAACTCTGGGGGTGGGGCGCAGCAATCTATATTTCTCTGCCTTCCAAGAGATTGTGATACTTGCTCAAGTTTGAGAACTTCTGGTCCAGAATGAAGGATGTGATAATCCTGCCTGCTCTGTGCTCAGACCAAACCTGGGCTACTGTATCCAAGTTAAGCAGATATCTACCATCAAAGGCTGCAAAAACCTGAGACCTGTGGGCCACATGTGGTCCCCTGCAAACACAATCTAGTGGATTTCAAGGTATGTGTTTGTTTTCTGTTTTTGTTTTAAATTCTAGCTTGAAAAAACAGGAAAATTTCATAGTTTTATCAAGATTTTTGGCTTCTCTTGATAAACCAAAAGATATGTCAATACTTGGACTAAGTTCCCTCAGTCCCTCAGCTGAGTAAAGGCTGCCCCGTATGGGTGGGGCACGTCTCCAGTTTGCCACAGTCTACACCATTCCCCATTGTTTTCACCTGCCTTTCATCTCTCATTTGTGTTACCAGCCTGGCCCCAGTGAGTTTGTAACATGCTGAGATATACAGAAATGTATCCTGGATGGGTAAGATTAGAAACTATTGTATGAGGACTAGGAGATAAGGAGCCCTGGGGGTCATGGGAGGA